TAAAATATAAGAAAAGATATACAATTAGAACAACTCAGACAAACTCCACCAGACTACAATGTTTCCATGGCATGTGTTTATGTTTATATGTATATGGAAAACTTTGGGAAACCGCCCTTCCCCCCCTGTTGCTGTGTAACCCTTCCAACTGCCCTAGTAGTTTAATGGCAAACCATAAGAGGTGAGTTGAGTAGAGCAGAGTATCAGAAGAAGGGCAGCTGTGGGCACAGATTGAGGGGCCAGTGTGGACACTGGCACTGAAATCACCTGGGGGGTTTCATGTGGTCCCTTATGCAGTCACAAAAAGAGACTGCAAACCAAGTTGCATCCGAGAGATTAAGTTTGCCAAGGTAGTCACAGCATCCTGGGTAAGGAACACTTGTTTCTGATAGACACACTGATTTTTGCAGCTCATTTCGTTGAAACGAAGACGCTAGGCTGACATTCAGGAAATCCCACAAGAGAACATTGTCTGTAATGACGTGGGTTCCTGACTTAGCGGCAGCATTCTGGGTTGGATAAAACCCTTATCAGGCTACCCCAAAAAGTGACAAACAAGACAAGTTTTGAGTTCCCAAAGAACTCTTTGACGGGCAAAAAGGATACAACATTTGAGGAACAGGAAAGAAGCAGATCTCTAAAACATTTCAACTTTTTAATGACCCAGTAAAGGTATCACCCAACTCAGAAATGTTTCTATAGGTGGGTCATACCTTTTTCCTGATCTGTTTTTCCAAAATGGAGGGCTATAGCCATTGCTATGCTATTTTAAATAAAAAGTGGCTTTTTTGTTGAAACTCCACACCTTCTCTCAAAATCTGCCTTTCTCTGTTCATCTCCTCTACTGTATTTCAGTGTCCTGCTAGAGACTTCTGTGGGTCTTTCCAGATCTCTGGGCAATTGAGATTTATCTTATTGAATTTCCCCAACTCAAAATCAGTTTCTATCCATCCACTGCCTTTATGAAGAAATAAGATTTCAAGGAAGAATGACCAGTCTCCAATGCTCCGTTTTGGGGCAAAGTACTAGAGTGTGTGGTAGCTTCTCAGCTCAAGGGGTTCTTGAATGAAACACATTTCCAGATCCATTTCAGTCTGGCTTCAAGCCTGGTTATGGAACATAGATGGCTTTGGTCACCTTGGTGGCTGACTTACACCAGGAACTGGACAAGAAGAATGCGACCCTGTTGGACCTCTCAGCAGGTTTCAGTATCATTGATGTTCTCCTTCTTGGATGGGCTTTGTTTTATTGTGGTTCCAGTCCCTTCTGCAGGACCAAGCTCAGAAGGTGGTGCTGGGATTATCCTGATTAACACCCTGACCGTTAGTTTGTGGGCTACTCCAGAGTTCTGTTCTGTCCCTCATGCTATTTAACCTGGTTGCCCAGAGGTTAGGATCTTGGTACCACCAATATGGTGATGATACCCAACTCTATCACCTTTTGGCATTTTATTCCACAGACACTGTTCTGGGCCTAATCCTAGACCAATGTCTGATGTCAGTAATGCACTGGATTACAGCAAACAAAGTAAAATGTTGTATGAGCAAGATAGAGGTGCTCTTGGCTGGTAAAAAGCAAGGTCATGAAGTAGGAATTCAGCTCTGTTTGATAGGGTTACACTTCCTCTGAAAAATCAGGTCCACTTCTTGAATGCATTCCAGGATCCAGCCCTGAGCCTCAACAATGGGCGGGAGTGTATTTGCACAGTTCCTTGAGATGTCTGATCTGACTATGATGACACATGCTTTACCTTCTGTTTGGATTACATACTGCAATGTGATGTACGTGAGATGCTGCCTTTGAAAAATATTTGGAAACTTCAGCAGGTTCTAAATGCTGCAGCCTGGTGCTGGGCGCATATAACTCCCGTACTACAGTTTCACTGGTAACTAGTCCATTTTTTAGGCCACATCAAAATGCTGGTAATGACCTGTAAAGCCCTATATCTTGGGTCTAGGTTATCTGAAGGATGAATTACCCCAGATGAGCCCCCTCAGCTTTCAGCATAATGGTGTTATCAAATCCCAAACCTCTTGTGCGGAGGAGGTCCTTTTCTCAGTCCCACCAACCAAGAGAGGTTGCTCCCAGGTTGTGGAATGCCCTTCCTTGAGAAGCCAGGTTGGCTCTCTCCCTCTCACCTTTCTCTGCCAGCTGACAGAGACCATACTTTTCAGGCAGGCTTTTAAGTGATTGGGTAAGTGTGGGTTTTAACAGTGCTATATTTAATAGATTCAGGGATTTTTAAAAATGTTTTAAAGCAATTTAATATTATGTGTTAAATTGTTTTTTAATACTGTATTATCTTTTATTTTTAATGGTGACTATTGTGTCATTATGAGCTGTCTTAATGGCTTCAAATCCCCACTTGGACATGGCGCTCGTACTCTGTGTCATAGGCCAAAACCCAGTTGCACAACTGCACACACACAGCTCAAGATTCTGAATGCAGTAGTTGCACTAGTACTGAGGCAAAAGCGCTGTCCCCGAGACACTTCTGCTGGTGCTTTGTGAGTCATGCCACGGATGTGTGACCAGTAGTATAATGTTACTCTGGGCTTTGGGGGATTTTAATTTTTTTTCTACCTTTCACCTACTTTCTTTCAGGACCACTTTTCTCCAAGCACTTTCCCACTCTCTCCCCCTATATTTTCATCTCTCATTTCTCCTTAAAGCCTTGTTTCTCTGCTAAATTTCAAAAAGAAATGAGAGATGCATTTCTGTTGGTTTATGATTCTGCAAATGCTGACAGTAGCGTGACTGGGAGTAAGATGGTTAAGGCTATGAAGCTGCATAAGAAGAGACATGGTTACAAAACATACCTCTGAGTAAGAACTATTTTAAATAGTAAAAATTATTTTAAAACACAAATAAGTGTGGTTTAGTTTTTTAAAAAAAATCCTAAATTCTAATAATGATGTATGCCACAGAGACTTTGTTTTAAAAAAAAAAATCTTAATTGAAGTCTCACAAGCCCTTGAAATTTGTTCATGCCCCACAGGAAGGCAGAAACCCACCCACCTCCATTTGGGAACCAACAGCCCTGATAGGTCATGCTACTTGGAATTTGGTTTGTTTGTTATTACGAAGGAGTCTAATAAGAAAAATTGCATGGCCTTTGTCAAAGCTCATAGCACTAGAAATTAGACATAAGATGCCACAGGACTGTTCCTTTCAGAACTGGCAATTGAGAAAACTGGATCCTTTGAAAATGTTCTCATGGTTTTATTTTATTTTTTGTTGCTACATTTTATCCTGGTGCCACTGATATCTTATTTCCATTTCCATGCTAATTCTGAAAGGCTTGCATCCCCAGATACAGAAGTCATGGGAAACCTTAGGTAATAATAAAGTAATGAGTCTCTGAAGTGTTATGTATCTGCTTCCTCACATAATATTATCTTTACAGGCTGAAAGTCAAACTCTTGTAAGAATTTCAGGTTTGTCAGAAGTGTTCAGTGCTACCTAGAGAAATATATTATATACAAATATACATTAAGAAAATAGTATAAATGTAAGTTAACAAGTCCAGAATAACATTGAAGGTGCATACATACAATATATGTCAACAGACTGGTGTAAGTGTAAGCTGGCAACTCCAGGAACAATCTTGGAAGTTGCCTCTGCTAGCTTTGGCTCTGAAGAGCCAATATCTGAGCGGGTGGGTGGAGGAATCCTGGGTTTGCTGATACGAGTTCCTTGGAGGTAGGGCAGGATGCAAAGATGCACACACTGGAGCATCACTCGTTGAAGTCCATTACAAAGAAGTGGTGCTACACTCACTAAAGGTGGATGCACATTTATAAAGGTCCAGGCAGCCATGTAGTTTAATGTAGTGACACAAATCATACTGGGTGTAATTTGGAGTGTCACTATATAACTTCCATACCAAAATCACATGTAAATATGATAATCCCCAGGCATATTTTATCAATATCAGAAATAAGATCCTTTCATGATTTTTATGGTTTCCATTATAATGTGTTCTGAGTCATGTGTGTTTAAATGTTCTTTTTCTCCCCTGTCCCCCCCCCCTCTTTTTAGAATCTTCTGTCTTACCAGCACCACAGAATGTGAGGATTGAGTCCTACAATTTTAAGCACGTATTAAGATGGTCTCCAGTTCAGAATATCAATGGTACAGTGTTATCTAGTATTCAACGTCGTGTGTAAGTAAACACTTACCAAAATCATGTTGCTATTTTTTACCATACTCTTATCATGAAAAAAAATACAACTGTAAGAAATTCCTCTAATTTTCTGGCCTTTGCGTTATATTTCAGTCAGTCAGTGGAACATTGGGAAGACATGAACTGTACAAATATTATGAAGCATGAATGTGTTTTTGATACCAAGCCTTTTTGTAGAATCATTTTACGTATTAGAGCTGAACAGGGGGAATTAAGATCTGCTTGGAGTGAAGCTGGTCCCTTTCAAGCAGCAAAAGATGGTATGTTTCTTTCATTCTGTTTCAGTGGTTACATTCAGTACGTTTGGAATGTTTTCATTGCTTTGCTTAAAATTAAATTTTGTGGAATTGAAATTCAAAGAATAGGCACTGCTTTCTATCCTGTGCTGTCTTTTAGCATCTTAAGGACTAAAGAATGTATTACAGTGGTGCCCCACATGACAACGATAATCTGTTCCAGGAAAATCACTGTTAAGCCAAATCGACCCACATGACGACAATAATCCGTTCCGGGACAATCACTGTTAAGCGAAATCGACGTCATGCGAAAAGCCTTTCCCCATTGGAATGCACTGAAACCCATTTAATGCGTTCCAGTGGGGAAATTACCTCGTTGTCCAGCGAAGATCGCCCATATGGAAGCAATTTTCCGAGCGCCAATCAGCTCTTAAAATGGCTGCCCTGCAAAGCACGAGTCTGGAAAACGGAGGGCAGCCATTTTAGGAACCTGACATTCAGCTGTAAAGATTGTCGTCATGCGAATAAACGGTCCACGAAGCATGGACCAAATCGTCAAGCGGAATTCCCCAATAGGAACGACTGTTTTGCAAATCGCTATAGTGATCGCAAAAAGTAATCGTCATGCGGTTTCATTGTGCAGCGGGGTCGTTGTCTAGCGAGGTACCACTGTATACCATAAGCTTTCATAAAATTTGTACATCTGTTGAAATGATCTCTAGTTCATGCAGGGTTATGCCATTTATTTATTCATTCATTCATTCATTCAATTTTTACCCCGCCCCTCTAGACTATGTCTACTCGGGGCGGGTTACATCAACAAAAACACATCAATATAACATGCGTAAAATCACAGAAAATACAATTATAGCAATTAAATTCCAAACGAGATATTACCAGGATGGCATGACTTAAAAGAGAGAAAAAAGAAAAAAAAAAGAGAGAGAGAGAGAGAGAGAGCCTGCCTTAGCAGACTTTTTAGTTCTTGACAAGACTTTGCTGTTTACAATTGTAGACTAACACAGTTGTATATGCAGAAGTATGCTGTGAAGGCCCTTCTTAACATTTCAAACTACAGGGGCATGGTTATGGTATGGTTAGCATTTGATATATTTTTATTTCTGGTTTTAGTTTTGAATGGTCTCAAAAGTTTTTTACAGCTCTATTGACTGACCCATTTTTCACAGTGCATAGAAATATTCATAAATTACCTATATGTTTGTATAAGGAAAAAATAGATGGAACTACAATACGTGCTGGCACTAAATATCTCAATTCACATAATAGTTTCCTTATGGAGAAATGTGAAGAACACTAGTCAATTCCAGTGTGCTACTAAATCCTACATGGAGAACACTTTGGTGTGCATGAGGAAGGGCAATCAGTTTTCTGATACCATTGTGGCTGTGATCATCATTACATCTCCAGTGTAATAGCTCTGGGCTCTATTATTTCCGCCAGTATTTAACCTGCTTACTTAAGTGGCATTGGCAGAACAATGCTACAAATCGGCATTTCTTTGTCAGTGCAGATCTAATTGTTTCTATTTGAAACAAGTAGATGTGAAACTTTTGATTAAAACTTTTAGAAAAGGTTTAATTAAAACATGTAGAAAATGTGCATAACTTATATTTGTTTGACATTATCTGTTTTAGCTATCTTGGGACCTCCACGAGCAATAAATGTAACCTCAGAAGGAAACTCAATACTTCTAAGGTTTTTGCCTCCCACAGAGCATTCAATGAATTTTGATTACGTAATATACTACGGGGAGAAGTCATCAAGTATAAATGTATGTACCTTTCCTTGCCAATTCTTTTATAATGTAGCTGGGAATACAACTACTTTTCTAATTTGTATACTGGGAATACAGATATGACGGGGCCCAATTCCCACCCCCAGAACCAGCCACACCACTCACCTAGCTCTGCACAGTGCTAGAGTCTTTCCACAGCACTGGTGCACCAATCTAGGAAGGAGCTCGGCTGGCTCTTCCCCGCCTCCCCACAAAGCCAACCACTGTGGCAAGGAGGCAAGATGGGGAGTCTCCTCGTTCAGCTGATCGGTGGTCAGCTGCATGAGGAGGCAGGTAAGAGCAGCATGGGCTCATTCCCAGATTAGAGCGACGGTGCTGTGGAAGGACCCAAGCCCGGCTTAGAGCTGGTTGAGTGGCCCAGCTGGTTCTGTGGGATGGGAATTGAGCTCCCGTGGCACTGCAAGTGCTGTGGATCAAGAATTTTGATTATAACATGTATTCTCATAACATCAGCAGAGTAAGGAGATATTGGTTAGAGATACTTACGACACTATGACACAGAGAGTAAAACCAACAACAGTCTATTTACATATATACAGAAATAGATATTCCTCTGGCAGCATAACATGACATGAAGCAGCACACAGCATAGGAAAAAGTGATTTGACTTACAGCAGATAAAGACGTTCGTTTTACACATGACTTATGTACAGTTCTGTGACCAATCAGAAAATACATTACTTCATTTTCTGTTACACAAGTTTCATCATGTACCACAGCTGTACAACATTAAGTCTTAATCCTTGATACCCAGACCTGAATACAGTCAGTACAGGGACTCGGGTAAAATCAGCCATTTTACATTTAACTATACAGTGGTGCCCCGCTAGACGATTCCCCCGCTTGACGATGAATCCGCTTAACATTGAAGTTTTTGCGATGACAAAATGATGTTTAGATGGGGGAATTTTGCTTAACGTTGATCGGTTCCCTGCTTTGGGAACTGATTTTTCGCTTTATGACTATCAGCAAATAGCTAATTGTCAGGTTTCAAAATGGCCACCGGCTATAGAAAATGGCTCCCCGCTGTGTTAGGGACGGATTCCTCGCATTACAGGCACCAGAAAATGGCCGCCGTATGGAGGATCTTCGCTGAATGGGCAGGTATTTCACCCATTGGAACACATTGAACGGTTTTCAATGCGTTTCAATGGGTTTTTTTATTTCACTTGATGACGATTTTGCTGTACAGTGATTTCACTGAAACGAATTAACATCGTCAAGCGAGGCACCAGTGTACAACATTAATATTTAATACATTTTCATATCAAAATCTCAACAATTCGTATACTGAGAAACAAATATGACGCACTTGTGTCTAGTAACTATATAACCAGAGGGTTCCAACCAGGTGTAGAATTTGTTCTAGAGAAAAGTTTTCAGACTATTTAAGTAGGAATTGTCTGAAAATATTAGGAAGTATTCCACAAAGTATTGTTAACTTGGAAGACCTCAAGAGAATACCTGTCTTTTTTTCTGATTGGGTCTGAGAGCTCTTTAGCTATATGTTTATTACCCATATGTTGTTTGCATTGTCACGTATTCTAATAGTGATTGTAGTTCTACACATTCTTGTCTTTATGAGCCCAAGTAGCACCATACACACATAAGAAGGAAGTATCGCAGACCTATGATTTGCAAAAATAGAAAACATATTGGGAATGTTGAATTATAGGTTTTAAAACTAGAGCTTTGAGCATGGGAATAAAGTTATCAACAGCACAACATAGTAAACCATGATGTTAGGTGTCTCTTGAGTTATTCTAGTTCTACATGCTACTATAACTAAGATACTTTGTAGTGTATATTTGCAGTAGTCAAAAGGAGTTCTGGGCAAAGTTCCCTAGAATTTAGTAGGATTAGAGCAAATTTGTTCTAGATAAATGGGACTTGCGTATAAACTGGAATGTTATTCTTTGCCTGCATAGAGCTAAATGAAACAGATGTTAAGTCAGTTTGGCTACCATTACTGCCATGTAACTTCTCCCTACTGTACAGCAGAAAATTCACAGACAGGATACAGAAATCAAATTCAAGAATCTAAAGGAAATGACAGAGTACTGCTTTCAAGTACAAGCAACACTCGAAAACAAGGAAGGAGAAATCAGTGACCTTTACTGCAAAGAAACTCAAACCACTGGTATATATTTTCTTTGATGTGAATTCAAGGAATAGATTAACCTGAACTGAATGAGTATTACCATCTTATAATGACATCTCTTTAATAGTTTACATATCTTAATATGGAGTTTGCACCAGCTAAATATCTTAAACTGTACAGCTAGTGATAGATGTTAAAAATATTGCACTGAATGTAGAATTTTATTTTAAAAATCTGAATTTTTTCTTTTAGAATAACATATTCACACTGAGCATGTTTTATTAAATTTAAATTTTATTTATTTGCTAAACTTGGAATGTGTGTATCAGATATTATGTAGAGGGTCAGTGTAGAAAAAATGTCTTTAAGATGATGAGTTAAGACAACAAAGAAACAGGGACTATAACCAAAGGAAATGTCTTCCATTCAGGATATTGGAAACTTAAATTCTTTATATTTTAAGGGGCACATCAGGCACTTCCTGAATAGAAAACACTTCTGTATAAGATTTTCTTGAAGCATGGAATCTGCTTTTCAGATGCAACAATTGCGCTTGTATAGTTTGCGCAGAACATAATTGACAGCCGATTGCCACTTTGTGACATATATGCCTAAAATAAAATGGGTATATATGTGTCTGTACATGTGCAGTTATTACACATGACTGTCTTCATGCTGTTTTTTTACACTTTTTAAACTATAAAATGTTTCAAATGTGTAGGATGGGGAACGAAGATCCAAATCCTATTGCATAGTTACATTCGTAGAAAGGAACTGGTGTAGTTCACAACAGTGAATTCCCTCTAAGTCCCTGCTTAGATTCTTGACTTGTGGGCCAAGCCACTTGATTGACGTGCAATGAGGAATACAAGCTGGGACTTGTCTACTGGCATAACTACACAATAGGATTTTAGCAAGAAATTTCTCTAGGCATTAGCAGGAATTTCAGTCAGACATTCAGTTTTTGCTACACAATGTGCCTCACAATGGGATTGCGACAGTGTAAATTGAGAAAATAGGAAGCTGCTTTATATTGGGTCAAGACAGTTGTTCCATCTCATTCAGTCTAGTTCACATTGAATGGCAGTGGCTCTTCTGAGATTCAGACTGCGATTTCCCAATCTTACTTGGAGATTATGAGTACTGGACTTGAGGCTTGCTATGTACCAAGCAGTAGCTCTGTCACTGGCCAGTAGCCCCTCACATTCACAAGATATGAGGAAACAAAACAAGGTTGCTGCTTCCCACTTCTTTTCTCTTGGAGCTGCAAGTTTGAAACTGTGTTGCACAGAAGTTGTGCTAACTAAAAGCATAAAAATGTGACTAATTATAGTAGGAGTTAACATGTCAGTGATGTCTTTCCACTACAGAATATATTCAAATTTGAGACGGAAGAGTAGGAAAAAATTCTATACATCTCACTTTGTATGTTCTATTTCCTTCTCTTTTTTCCTGATTCACTTCATTGAGATTTAATTTATCAGATTTAAACACTTCAGTATTGAATCATCATATGAAAGCAAGCTCTGCTCACATCCATGAAATGTTGTTTATATTATGTGTGGGGTTAAAATGAAGAGCAGTGGTACTCTGCTACTTATTGGCCAATATCATGTTACATACATATGCCAGCGTAAGTCAAATTGGCACAAATCTCTTATTGCATGCCAAGTCATATGACTGGTGCACAATGAGGAATACAGACATTGATTCCTCAACTTGCAGCAATACACTAGTGAGATTCATGACGTAATGTTGGCTTATGAAAGTAACAGGATTCTGCCCTGCATGTTCAGGATTGTGTCCCATATTTTATTTATCCTAAAAGAAGGAAGCTGTAATAATTTGGAATAACAGCGACAATTTTTAATACAACTTTAAATTGTTGTTATCTGGCATTCATTGCCATTAAGAATTAAAACTAGATTCTTTCAAACAAAAAAATTGAAATTGAGACAAACTGCTGCCTACTGTCTCCCCCATAAGGCGAGAAAATTTCTTCTCGGGACTAGAATTCTCACAGCAACCCAGCCAGCATGCCTCCCCAGAAGCAACTTTCCAAGCTCCACCCCCCTTTTAAACCATGTTGCATCAAGTACGATTCCTCAGTCTTGATTTTTGCCAAAGGCATACAGTGTGAAGCACTGATGCACAATAAGTGCTGTGTGCATCTCAGTTCTAATAGCTTTTCCTGTCCCAAAATGCAATGAGAAATGCCTCCCAGCTAGTATTTCACTTTTCGTCACAACTGTCATGATCATCAGTTTGTGAACATTCCATTAGAACATGTGTTAAGACTGATGCTTGAAAAAACTTTTTCAAGTATAGATTCTTGAGAGATTTTAGTAAATTTGGGTCAGGTTAACACTACCATGTTAATAATATCCGCTAATACTGTACATTTTTCCTTTCAGAGACAAGTCGAATTATTTCCATCGTAGGTATATTTGGATCATTAGTTACCCTAACAGTTGCAATATTTTTATGTTTGCTGGCTATTCGGAAGTATAAAAGTGTGATTAAATCTCTCTGGCAACCACCTCTAAGAATACCATCCCATTATGAAGAGGTATGTAAAGTTATGTTTGCTGTTTTTTTTAAAAGTGTGGTTAAAGTATAAAAGGCATAGGCATTTGGTTTGATCCATTAACTTGGCTGCATACTGCAGTGGTAGCTCCTCAGCCATTTCCTCTGCAACAAACTCCAAGTACAGCTGGTTTTTATAGATCATGGTTCAATTACATTAGGACACAGGTGCTGCTGTGTGACTGAAAATTGAATTTGGTGCAAGCATTCCAGCTGATTAAAGTATACACTTAGCCCATCTCCTGCCCCTTTCCACCTCCAATTTTGAGATCCAGTTCTCCATACTGGTGTAAGGAGAGGAAAAGGAATATAAAAGCAGTGATGCTTTGCCTCTTGCTCTGAATTTGATAGACTCTGGTAATGTATCTGTTCACTGCAGTTGGATTGTGGCAGTGAAAATGTGTACTCTAAAAGGGAGGAGGTGGACATGTGATCGTCTGCTCTGCTCCTGGTTAGCAACCAGGAATGTTGTTGTACACAGGCTTATACTTGCCAGCAGTCTGCCACAGTTCCTTGCCTCACTTCACAATTCAGATCTCTCTCTCTCTCTCTCTCTCTCTCTCTCTCTTTTAATTTGCCCTCTTCCTGGTTCTTAAAGCACTGTAAAAATAGCTTTCTCTTTTTTTGCAACTTCTGGTAAGATCCACCATTACTCATTTTGCTCTTTTGTTTTTGGCACCATGTAAATACTTGTCCATACTCAAACACTGAAGTAATAGTATTCTGGTTGCAGCTCTTCTTCACACAGAGTAATGTGTTCACTAAAAGGGTAGTATAATAATCAAACAAATAAGTTGGTTAGTTATTTACAAGTTTCTAGTTGAAATCCTGTTGCTTAGTATAGTAAGTTGCAGCTAAAGTAGACTTCTTGAATCAGTGGAGATTTGGTGAGTCAGCTCCTTTGTAAGATCCATTGATTCAGTAGGCTTACTCAAATTTTGACTTACTAAACTAAGCAATGGGACTTCAGCTTCTATTTCTTGATTTTTTTGTCCATTGGATTGAAACATTACTTAATATGTCACTAAATCTCCCTCTACCCACAAATTCAGAATTGAGAAAAGAGCCATATTGAACGTCAACTCACAAACAAGTTCTAGAGTTTGGTCGATCAGAATATTTCTTGTATCATATATTACAGGGGACTCTAATCCTTGTCCTGATGAAAAGAACACTGCTTATCCAGTAACCATTGCAGAAATTACAATTTATTGAAAAAAACATAGAATAGTAACAAATTGGAAATATATATTGGTGCCTACTATTCAGTGTAATGTGACTGAGAAACAGAACCCAAGATGTCTCATTTGTTAATAGCTTGAATCACTGGGAGAACAGAGGAGTTTTATTTCCTGTGTCCCTGACTACCCAATTATATTTTCTTTTGAACAGTTGCCATTCATTTTCTGTGTAGGAAAAAAAATGAAATGCTGCATTTTGGTACAGCTGTAAGTGTGTATTACAGAATTTGTTTGGCATTTTAGATTCTAACAATTGTATGTTTTTTAAACAAACTTTTTAAAGGACCTACTAAATGCTGGAATGGTGATGGAAGATCAATTCCGAAATTGTACAGAAAACGACCATTCAGATACTGTGTCAGTAACCTCTAATGCAAGTCTAAGCCAAATGCAGACAAACAGCTCTACAAATGAAAATCAAGTACATATATCAGAAGTAGAAGAACATGGATGACGATTTGTACATTAGCTTCATTTCACATCAACTGTGGCTGAACTTAACGCCCACTTGTGGAATTTCAATACAGTACCTTAATGGTTTGGGGGCCCGTTTTCTATTCATACATATGTCCCTCAGAACACAGTCCCTTTCAGCTGTTCATCACAGGCATTACCTCTCCAGGTTGCTACGCCAAGGATGGCAAAAAGAACAGTCACCTGAAATCATGCCTTCTTCGCCATAGCCCCTACTTTATGGAATGGGCTTTCTGTGGAAGTCCATCAGGCTTCCTTTTTGAAGAAGATAACTAAAGACATTTGTTTCAGGAAGTATTTAAGGACATCCTCCCTTAAATCTTTGTCTGTTCACTGGAGTGTGCCATCATTTGGGGTTTCTTTGAAGTAGGTATTTTATTGGTTTTTTTATTGTATCTTTGTAAAACACTGAATTTCTCACACTAAGTCAGCGATTTATGAATGCAATAAATAAAGAAGTTGTTTTCAAAGGCCTGCTAGTTTCCTTTCAAAATAGTCACCTGCAGAACACCTACTGTCAAACTATGAATTGGGAGCTGACATAATATTGAGTTTAAGGAAACATATAGAATGATCTAGATCAGCGATGGCGAACCTATGGCACGCATGCCACAGCTGGCACAGAGAGCCCTCTCTGTGGGCACACGAGCCATAAGTCGCCATAGAAAAATATTTACCCGTCCTCCGATCCTGGATTTTGGCACTCCCCTCTGCTGGTTCAGTGGTCCAGCGGAGGGGTGCAATGGCAACCATTACCTCCAAGCCCAATGGGGGATTGGAGGACCAGTAAGTATTTATTTGTTAATACAGCCCATAGCCAAAAAAAAAAAAAAGCAAGCATTTAACCCGTGCAGTGCAGGAGCAGTTGTTTATTCTAAACTAAAACCTCAGCATTCGGGTTTTAATTGCAGTATTGGCACTTTGAAATAAATAAGTTGATTTTGTGTTGCAGTTTGGGCACTCAGGCTCAAAAAGGTTCACCATCACTGATCTAGATGTATGCTCATTATAGAATCATAGAAAAGTGAAGTTGGAAGGGGCCTGCAAGGCCATCAAGTCCAACCCTCTGCTCAGTGCAGGAATACAATCAAAGCATATCTGCCAGGTGATTATCTTAAGTTTTTCTTGAATGCCTCCAATGTTGGAGCACTCACCAACTCCCAAGGTAACTGGTTCCACTGTCATACTGTTCTAACAGTTAGGACATTTTTTCTGATATTCAACCGAAATCTGGCTTCCTTTAACTTGAGCCCATTGTTGCGTGTCCTGTACTCTGGGATGATTGAGAACAGATCTTGCCCCTCCTCTGTAGGACAGCCTTTCAAATATTTGAAAAGTGCTATCATATCACCCCTCAGCCTCTTTTTCCAAGGTTAAACATGCACAATTATTTCAGCCTTTCCTCATAAGGCTGGGTTTCCAGCTCCATGATCATGAGCCTTTCCTCATAAGGCTGGGTTTGCAGCTCCATGATCATGCGTGTTGCCCTCCTCTGATCTTGTTCCAATATGTTAGCATCCTTCTTGAAGTGTGGCTTCCAGAACTGGACACAATACTGAAGATGAGGCCTAACCAGTGCTGAATAGAGGGGGACTAGCACCTAGAGGGATTTGGAAACTATACTTTTATGAATGCAGCCTAAAAGAGCACTGGACTTTTTTGTAGCCACCTCACACTGATGGCTCATATTTGGCTTGTGATCTATGACAGTTCCAAGATCCTTCTCACTCATAGTTTTGCTAAACCAGGTATACCCCATCTTGTAACTGTGCAATTGGTTTCTTTTTCCGAGGTGCAGACTTTGCACTTATCCCTGTTGAATTTCATTCTGTTGCTTTCATTCCAGTGCTCCATCCTGTCAAGGTCATTTTCAATTTTGTTTCTGTCTTCTAGAGAGTATTAGCTATTCCACCCCCAATTTTGTATCATCTGCAAATTTGACAAGCATTCTTTGCACTCCCTTATCCAATTCATTAATAAAAATATTGAAGAGCACTGGGGCCAGAACTGAACCTTGGGGTACCCCACTTGTTATCTCCTACCAGTTAGAGAAGGACCCATTCATCATTACCCTCCATTAATCATCCTCCAAGTGTGATTCTGTAGCCAGTTGTATATCCACCTGACACTTGATCTATCCAGCTCACACCTAGTTAGCTTGCTAATCAGGATATCATGGGGCACTTTGTCAAAAGCTTTGCTGAAGTCAAGATATACTATGTCGACAGCATTCCTTCTGCCTGGGAGCTGACCTGATCAAAAAACAAGATCGAATTAGTTTGGCAGGATTTATTCTTGACAAATCTGTGTTGGCTTCTAGTTATTACTGCATTGTTTTCTAGGTGCTTGCACAATGACTGCTTCTCAATGAATGCTTCTCAAACTATTAAAGTGGTTGGATTTCCCCTGGATTGCCATGTCAAAATCGGCATTAATAGAGCCCTCCTAGTAGAATCCACTGTTAACCTAGCTGAGAACCAACCTGAATCAAATCCATCTACTGGTTTAGTTGCTATTAAAGATTTATGTTAGAAAGCCTGGGTCAGGTCCTCCTTCAGCAAGGTCTATTTACAACCAGGAAGGTCTAAGATTGTAGGCACCACTAGTGTCAGAGGGAATAGGCAAGCTCAGTTCTGATTTAAATGTTTCATCCAAGGTCAGAAAAAGACATTTCTTGTAGGTGACAGATTTGGGAACTATAACATGGGGGCTGTGTGGACTGCTGAAAAAGCAACTGCAGATTTAAGAATGAATAGTTTGAGATTGTAAAGGTAATTATCAGTTCTGAACATCTGGACTCAGTATTGGAATTTGCTTTCTCTAGCTGGCTGTGCTCAGGCCACTCCCCAATTTTGCTGACACATCTACTTTCTCTTCTACCTTATTTGTATGAGGTTTTATAGGGAGTAAGCAGACTTACTGAAGTCTGAAGGCACACAACAAAGGCAGGTGATTCATAGATTCCTTTCTTTGAGGAATAAAGTTCTGCATTTCCATACTTTGTGTACCTGGCAAAAATGTGAGTACCTCTCCTTGCCTTGGGACCAAAGAACTGGAGGATAGTTCAATTTTGCCAGTTGTTTTGAATAAGCTCTTAAATCATAGGTTATTAGAGGACAGTAGCTTCCACTGCTTAAAATGATCCTCTAAAGTGAGGGAATCTGGCACCATAATTGGACATTAACTCTGCAGTGTGCTATTGCTAATAGTTTGGGAGGGACTAGAATTGGAGGAACCTATTATATTTGCTCATTTGAGATAAGTTACAACATTGTCTTCTAGGAGGCAAAATAACCTGATGATAAGGTGCAGCCTCTGCCACAGCTGGGAGAATACTGACATTACTTCCCTTCTGCTCTGAGTTTAGGCAACAAAATATTAGCCTGCAGTTCTTAAAAACAGAGAATATCAATCAGGAAAAAGTAAATATTGTGGGAAAACAAAGAAATTGATGCAGCTTGTATTGAGAGAGATTGCAAAGTAGAATGGTCTCGGTACTGCATTGCCTTGTATTGTTCTAAAAACTTCTTCCAGAATATGCAATATTATGTCCCTTATGCTGCACTTTTTGATAGTATACAGTGGTGCCTCGCACAACGAGTGCCTCACACAACGATGAATTCACATAACGATGTCTTTTTCTGATCAAGTTGCTGCCTCACACAGCGGTTTCCTATGGGGGATTTTCACATAACAATGTCCCTATCCCCTCATTTAAAAGTGTCTTAAACTGTTAGGAAACTGTTTTAAATGCTTGGCATCGATAGTCCAGCTTGTGAAAGGCATGCAAACTTAATTTGGTGTTGTTCTGAGTCTTCGTTCATTTTTGCTGATTTTTTTATTTTTCCTCATTGAAATGTATTGGACTATCGATGCCAAGCATTTAAAACAGTTTCCTAACAGTTTAAGGCACTTTTAAATGAGGGAAAAGAGACATCGGAATGCCATTGAAATGTATTGAGTCGGCTTCAATACATTCCAATATAGGAAACATTGTTTCACTCAATGATGTTTCCTATGGGGATTTTCACTGAACGATGGCAATCCGTTCCAATTGGAACGGATTAACCGGTTTTCAATGCATCTCTATGGGAAATGGCGTTTCGCAGAACGATGTTTCACACAGCGATGAATTTTTTGGAACCAATTAACATCGTTGTGCGAGGCACCACTGTACTTGGAAAGTGATGAAAAAGTTGTTGCTGTATCTTCAATGGCAATGCAGCAGATAAAGTTTGAAGACAGTCTTAACTGATCAGTTAAAATTTTGTAAAAGAAAGTATTCTACAAATCTTTATTGCATTGTAATATTACCGTGAACAAGCAAGGTACTCTACACAACAATTTAATAATGAATTAAAGTGACAAACTGTTTGCCCGAAAATAACACCTAACCTGAAAATAAGCACTAGTATGATTTTTCAGGATGCTCATAACATAAGCCCTACCCCAAAAATAAACCCTAGTTAAGTGAAACCACTCCCTCCACCATTGTGCAGCAACCAGAAGATGGCATGACTGTATTTGAATAAATGTAGATTGTTGTACATGAAAAAAAAAATCCCCTGAAAATAAGCCCTAATGCATTTTGAAACAAAAATTAATATAAGACCCTGTCTTATTTTCGGGAAAACACGGTACAAATATATATGACATCACAGGACAACTCTCAGCTTAAATATTTGCTTCATAGACTGTCCTCTGAAGGCTCTGATGTCTGTAAATGTAAATGGTTTTATAAAATCATCAATAACAGGCCTATTTACCTTACAGATATGGTGGGGGAAGCCCAAAAACATGCAAGGGTTTCCAACTGACCCTTAGACATTCTGACTGCAACGATCAGAATGAAAGCATTTCTAGCTCACCTGATTCTTCATTTCCCCACAACTCTTTCTTGCCGAAGTCCTTCATCCTGGAGAGATTCAGCTTGATGTGAATTTCAGTATACCATTCAGATTTGGGGGTAAAGAATATAGCTAATTCTGGTTAATGGAGTATTGCACTAGCACACGTTCCAACATTTACACCATTTACATCTCTCTCTCTCTTTCTTTCTCTCTCTCTCTGTCTCTCTTTCAGTCCTTTGGGGGGAAAATGATAGTCTTGCCACAGGTTCAATTAGAGAAGTTAAAAAATATACTGTAATGATTTCTCCCACTTCCCCCTTTTATTTGGAATCCAGCAGGTCACATCTGAAGACATTCCTTTCTTACAAACATGTAAAAAATAGAAAAGCAGGAGCTCTGCAGTAATTAGAATACAGGATCTCCTTTGCCCTGAATCATTCTTAAGAATGTGATTTTGCATTAAAATAATCACAGTCAGTCTGTATATGTCTGTCAGTAATGTCTCAACAAAACTTTACATTATTGAGCGTGGTGGGTTTTTTTATATATATACTGAAATCCCATGAGCTTCATGCTTAGAAATCTGTTGCACCTTGCCAAACATATTAGTATTTAATCTCAATGTTAAGGCATGCTGTGCTAAGCAAACTAAATGCGAGCTCTTACTGCATTTTTTAATTTTCATAGGTATATTGTGCCTTTGTTCAACATAGATTTTGCAGCAGAATTGAACATTTTTGACAAATTACTATTGGGTAAAGTTTTAGATTCATACCATAGATTTATACTATAGGTTTTAGAAACATTTGAATTTATTTTTTTCATGCATTACAAAATGGCTGCTTTCCAGAACCCTGCAAATGGTATTTTTGTAAGAGTCCTTAGCTGAACTTTCTGATCATATAATCAATGTTTCAACCTTTGGCTAATGAAGTATAAGACATTACTATGCTCATTTGTGCTTAAGAGCAACATGTGATCTTGAAAAATCTGTGAATCTCTTTAACACATTCTCCATACAATGGAACAGGAAAACCTGCTGATTGCAATGTAAATTTAACATTCACTCTTATGTATACCAGAGAGCCACAATATGTACAATATGCACAATTCTGTTCTATTGAAAAGATAACTAAATACAGCAACTTGGAACAGAATATTTAAATCAGTTCACTTTCCAAAAATAAGAGAACATACAAAATGTGTAATACATGGCAAAATAGAAAACAACCAAAAACTTAAGTTATATTTACATACAGGACTCTCTTAACATGATGAAGAAAATTTGTATGCTTAAGCCCACAATTCTTCTGTTCTTCCAAATTTGTAGATGAGGGTGCTATAAAAACAGAAGTTTAGATCTATTATAAGCCAGACATAATTTCCATCTTCTTGCAAAAAGATAACATATACAGCATAGTGTGTGGCATTTTAAGAATGAACGCCTGACACACATAAATGTGTTGGAGTTTGATCCAGATTGTAATGAGGATCTAAATTGTACCTCAAGGATGCAGTCTATTACAGATTTCTGGAAACATGATCTAATGGTCACTCAATCATCCAATAGGTCTCCAACAGTTCTGTTAGCACAACCTTTTACCTCTGTCAGAAATGCATACAATTCCAAGGAAATGGAACAAAATAAATGCATGCATATTTTTAAATTTCCAAAGGAGGATATTAGCAAAACCAAAATGAAGTACCAAAAAGAATCCCTTTACATAAAGCTTGGTTAACACACTTGGTAAACTAAACAATTCTGACTCAGGAAACCCTTTAACCAAGCATCATAAGAGTTTGAGGAAAGGCATTCTAGCACACAGAGGAGGACACTTATTTAGCTAACATAATTCGTTAGTATATGATCACATGTCCTTTGATCCAGCACATTCCACTACGCCAGACCTGGGAAAAGTGCGGCCCTCCAGATGTTCCTGAACTGCAAATCCCAACATTCCTTACTGTGTGGGCAAGGCCCAACTCTCCTCACTATTGGCTGTGTAGGCTAGGCCCAAATCTCCTCACTATTTGTGGTATTACTTACCTAAAAAATATCAAAGCATTTTGAAAAAACACTGCTAATCCTGGGTAGACATTAATATCTAAAATATAAAAATGCAAAAATATTAAGATAGGTCTGAACTCACCAATACAAAATTCCACAATTACCTTCTGATATGAGTATAAACACTTCTTTTTGAAAAAGATATTTTATGGTGTTAATCACTTCCTATTTCAAATAGCAAGGCTTTGTTTCACAGAATTATACAATGGAATCTCACCCTCTGCTTTACCCACTGTCTCATCTCTAAACTATACTATTTCAAATGCATACACAGTGCTTTGGACTTAAACTGGACTGTATATAGGTAAACAAAATGTTCACGATTTCTAAATGCAACAGTATTCAATGTTTAAGATACAGGATGAAACCAGAAATGATAATTTTGTATTTTCTGTGTTTATTATCTGACCCTCTCCATAAGCACACAAATTCCTTTTATTCAGTGCTTCAGAGCCAGAAACCACCTATAGCTAAATGACAGAAAGACATCTGCCTCCTCCAGCAGTGCGTTCAGTTTATGGTTGAAACACAGGAGAGGAATAACGCAGCTTGCTCATCCAAAAACATGGCTTGATCCCTTATAAGAATGCCCCTTTCTACTCTGAATTGTAGTCATGCATGTACAACGAAATAAGCAAGTATCATTAATAGAAGTGTTAACGTTCAAAAACTCCATCAAAGTACTTAGTATTTTCAAAGATGCCAATATGAAGACACAAAAAATGTTAAACAACAAATCACATACACATGGCTTACAAGTGAGACTTTTTTTCCCAAGAAGTAAGTTAAGAATATATTTAATCTGAACAGAAGAAAAGCGTGTAGAGGTGTCTTGTTTAAAACACAGATACTTAAAACCAAGGAACAAGGTTCCTTTGCCACTTATCACATTTGAAACATAAGATATGACTCTTACTCTGAGTAACGTATGCTCCGAAAAGAATCCACATGGAAGCGATAAGTGAGCCAAACATCAACATGAAGCCAATGAAGAGCCACACACGAGCACCTGCAGGAACATAATGAAACCAAGCACTTACATAAAAATTTCTGTAAATGAACACCACCAATGGAAAGAGCATATTAGTACAATGCAATTGAATAATAATAAAGGAGTTAGATGAACAAGGTTTGAACGCACCGCCTCTACCACAACATTCACAGCATTAAGTTTGGTACAGTCATTGCAAGGTACTATACATGCTGCAAGAATACTGTGGGAATTATGTGACATGTGGCTGTCACGAAGATTTCTGGAAGAGTGCTGAATAAAACTGCAACAAAACTAAGACATTTCCAGAATTCATTGAAATTTTAACTCCATCATTTGTTAATTCTGAAACCCTAGATTTCCAACGAGTACTAGGAGTCACTGGTTAAAATTCATTTGGCAGAGATGTACAGTATAAATGCTGATGATGCCATCAGCAGATGATGTTAATGGTTGTTGTGGGTTTTTCGGGTTCTTTGGCTGTGTTCTGAAGGTTATTCTTCCTAACATTTCGCCAGTCTCTGTGGCCGGGGGCCGCCTAC